AGAAGAAGACGTGGATGTTATGTATATTCGATAGAATGTAATAATTGCAATAGTATTTACATAGGACAGACAGGAAGGAGATTAGAAACACGTATCAGAGAACATGAAATTAAAAATAATTCTAATGTTTATAAACATAAAATGGAAACGGGACATAAAATTAAATACAAAGAAACTAAATTAATACACAAATGTAATAAAGGTCAAAGATTGGATTTGCTTGAAATTTTGGAAATTTTAAAGTATAAACACAATCAAAATTATAATTTATTAAACGATCAAATACAAATTAATACTGCACCTATTTTCACTTTATTAAAAGATTTTAAATTTAAATATAAACAGTGTTATTCAGGATGAATACCAGTTTCCTTCTTGCTTGTTCCTTTTGACCTTCAGTCATTTTTCGTATCTTTTGTCAAATGTAAACGCGTGTTTTGTTTTATATTATTTTGGATTTTGTTTTAAGTGTATTTTAACTTTTGGTTTTGAATTTGATATTCTATTATATTTGTTCAATTATTAAAGTAAGAAATTTTCAAGCTTGGATAAAAAAGATGAAGTTAACTTTGGAGGATGTGTTAAATTTGATGATTAATATATTTTTTCAATTAAACTGACAGTAAGTAAATTTATAGAAATTTTGGATTTATTTCATATTGTTTTTTAAAAAAATTTTTATATAAGATTCTACTGAAGATGAGGATTGTTTCCTCGAAATCGATTTAGAAGCATAATAAAATAAATAGCAAGAAAGAGGAAAATTTTTGTTTTATTTAAATTGACATTACAAAACATTGTCAAGACACGAAGCGGTTTTGAAATTCATTCACAGGGAATTACAGAAGCATATACATTTGTGTGATCCTTGAGAAAGATGATTTTCACCTTTTTCAAACAAAATAATATCATCGAGATTAAGAACAACCCGACTGTTGCATATAATAATAATTTGAAAAAACTTATAAAACAAAACCTTCCATTCCTGAAGATTTTTAATATTAATATTTTTAACTCTACAGAAATGAAAATTTTAATCCCACACATGAAATGTTTAATAAAGTTACATAAGATCGATAAAAGCATCCGACCAATTATAGGAAATATTAATACACCAACCAGCAAGATAGCGAAAATTATTCAACGAATCTTATATAAAACCTTTAACAACTCTTTTCAATACACAATCAAAAATTCTACAGAACTCTCTAAGAAATTATCTAAAATTAAAATAGAGAAGAACTATAAACTTATCTCCGTGGATATAAAAAATTTATATTCTAACATACCTATTGCCCTTACTATTAATTTAATAAAAGAATACCTATTTTAATGTTTTAATAGTGTGTCCCACTTGTGTGTGTGGTGACTTTGATTAATTGAACTAAAACTGCAATGTTCGGTTTTTCAAAAAATAGGGTTTTTCTTAATTTATTTAATTACAATAATAATAATAGTGAACACGCTAATAAAAATTAGAGGTTCTTAAATGAAATTGGTGCTGATTCTAATTTGGTGTTTTATTCGAAGGACCAGAAAAATGTAATCGAAATAATAAAAAGGTTAAATGTTCTTACTTGTCTTTTATTGCACGGGCGGTAACCGGTTCACTCGACCCATCAATCACGACGATGACAATTTGAAAGAGGGCGAGTTTAACGGTATAATACAATTTATAGACGGGCATACGTGGTGGGGGTGCGAAATACAAGTTATACAAGACTAATTTGAATTTAAACGAAAAGTTGTATGCGGATCGGACATTCCACCCACCAACAAAAAAATGTAAATAGTAAAATTTTTTTTTTACAAGAATAATATAAAATTTGAAATGAATTTAACAATGATGAAATAAAAAAGTCAACAGGTAAGTAAAAATATAATAAATATGATATCAATGACTAGAAAAATTATTTTTTCGTAAAAACAAAACAATTTTTTTTTAAGTTGGCAATAAACAAAGTTTGGTTACTGGTCGCGTCAAGCGGCCATTTATCGTTTTAATTGTGACAACACGAATGACGCCATCGACTCCGGGATGAATAAGTTCTATCCGACCTATTTCCCATTGTAACGGAGGACGCTGCTCATTGCGAATAATTACTAGATCGCCTACGGAAGGATTAGATGTAGGAATATTCCATTTTTGTCGCTGTTGGAGCGTTGACAAGTATTCCTGATGCCATCTTTTCCAGAAATCCTGCATCATTCTTTGCAATAATTTCCATCGATCTAAACGATTGATTGGAATCTGAGTAAGATCAGAATCTAAAACAGAAAAGGTTATAGGTTCGAGACACAAAAAATGTGCGGGAGTGAGTGCTTGGAGATCATTCGGATCTTCGGTAAGTGGTGATAATGGTCTCGAATTAAGCACTGCTTCTATTTGTGTTAGTAGAGTATAAACTTCCTCGAAGGTGAGTCTTTGTTCACCAATCACACGCAACAAGTCGTATTTAACGGATTTGACTCCAGCCTCCGCTAAGCCATTGAAGTGGGGAGCTCCTGGAGGATGGAATTGCCACCGGAGATTGAGTTTTTCGCCTGCGGTATCGGCCATCTGTCGCAGTCGGTTGTAAGCACCCACGAAGTTGGTTCCTTGATCGGATAAAATAAGGGTACATTGACCTCGACGTGATTGGAAACGACGTAGTGCAGCGATGAAAGCTTCCGTTGATAAGTCTGAAACTAACTCAAGATGTATAGCCTTTGTGGATGTACACACAAATACACATATGTAAGACTTAGTAGATCGCGATCCCCGATGACGGCTAATGGTGGTAAAAATGGGGCCAGCGAAGTCAACAGCCACAGTGGAGAACGCCTTAACTTGTGCGAGGCGAAATGATGGTAGATCGGCCATCCAGGGGACGTATGACCTCGACTTGCAACGGAAACATCGGAAGCATCTGGAGACCACTCGGTGAATAACACTCCTTGCAGCGATGATCCAGTATTGCTGCATCACCAATGCTTGAAGCGTGCGTTGTCCAGGATGGAGGTAAGTTTTATGTATTTCTTCCACAATAAGTTCACTCACACGATTGTTTTTAGATAACAACACTGGGTGTTTATGATCAAACGGGATTGTAGCGTGTTTAAGGCGACCACCCACCCTAATAATACCATCTCGGTCCAAAAAAAAAGCAAGTTTACGGTAAGACTTTTCAGGAATTTGATTATTTTTAATGGAAGTAATTAGCGTTGAAAAATGTTGAGACTGTACATGACTTAAAATTGTCGTTAACGCAGATTGAATCTCAAATGGTGATAAATTTATGGTAGAATATTTATAATGTTTTTTACAGTGGTTAATAAACCGTCGAACATATGCAATAATTCGTTGAATTTTAATGAAAGAAGAAAATTTAGTTAGAAGATCATCAATAAAATGATTCGGGTAAGTGTCAAGGATATATGAATATTTGGATTGCTGTTCAATAACTACTTCGTGTGTATCACTTATGTTTTCAGATGATGCGGGCCAATTATTTGATGAATCAGCAAGCCATGAAGGACCTTTCCACCATAAAGTAGAGGAGATTAACTGACTGGGAAAAAGGCCGCGGGAACCACAATCTGCGGGGTTATCAATAGACGGAACATGTTTCCAACAATTTGCAGGTAAAATTCCCTGGATATGTGAGACCCTATTCGCGACGAATATTTTCCATCTACTTGGGGAAGAGGAAATCCAAGATAAAACAACTTTCGAATCTGTCCAAGCAGTAATCGAATCAATATTGATTTTAGGAAATAATGTTTCTTGAATTGTTGACAACAAATCAGTGAGAAGAACTGCACCACATAGTTCTAAGCGTGAAATCGTGATAGTTTTTAAGGGTGCTACACGAGCCTTTGCGCATAAAAGCGAAGATTCAATTGTACCTTGGACTTGGCAACGTAAATAAGCAACGGCACAGTATCCAATTTGAGAGGCATCACAGAAAAGATGCAATTGTATGGATTCAGAGTTATTCGGAATAACTAATCTGGGTAAAGTTAAATTAGATAACTGAATGAGATCATTCTTAAATATTTTCCAATTTTCAGAAATGAACAATGGAGGCGTGTCGTCCCAGGATAATTTCAATTGCCACAATTGTTCTATGAAAGTTTTTGTTTTAAGTGTGCAAGGCATTAAAAATCCAAGGGGATCATATATACGGGCAATGTCAGATAGTATGGAACGTTTGGTACAGGATTTATGTATGGGAGTGAAGGAGTAAGTAAATAGATCTCTTTTGGGGTCCCATTGAAGGCCAAAAACCATTATGCAATTAAATTCTCCATAATCCATGGATATTGGTTTTTGTAAATCAGTCTCCGCAACATCTTGTAGAAGATCTGGACAGTTGCTCGCCCATTTTTTCAATTCGAAACCTCCTTTACGCAATAATGATATCAGATCTGATTGTAGGGTACATGCTTCCATTAAAGAACTCGCTCCTGTGACAATGTCATCTACATAGGTGTCATGTTGAAGAATCTTGGAAGCTACCGGAAATTCATGAGAATATAAACGTGAAAGTTCGATAATTGTTCTGAGCGCCAAAAAAGGTGCTGATGAAACGCCATAAGTGACGGTGTTTAACATATATTCTTCTATGGGATCATCAGGTGAGAACCGCCATAGAATTTTCTGATAGTTCCGGTGATTTTCCGAAATCAAAATCTGTCGATACATTTGTTGTATATCGCACGTAAAGGCAAATTCATGGTAACGAAAATTAAGCAAGACCTTGACGATATTCTGTTGCAATTTAGGACCAATAAGTAAATTGTCATTCAACGATTCTCCATTCGAAGTGACAGCTGATGCGTCGAAAACTACTCGGATCTTGCTAGATGCGCCTTCTGCGCGTGTGACACAATGATGGGGTATGTAGTATGAAGTAGAGGAGAGAGATGGATTAGTGGTGATCAAACTCATGTGGCCAGATAGGAGGTAATCAGACATAAATGATACGTAATCTTGGTGTAAGGAGGGATTTTTTAGAAGGCGATTTTCTAAGGATTTGAATCTTCTAAGAGCGGTTTGGTAGGAGTCTCCGAGGGAAGGTTTGCTAGATTTAAAAGGTAAGGAAACGACAAATCTACCATTAGTCATACGTTGGTAAGTTTCTCGAAAATGTTTTTCACATGTTTCTTCTTCTGAAGTATTCAAAGATGTTACAGGAATGGATTCAATTTCCCTAAATTTTTGTATAGTATTATCCAGAGAAAGTGACGAGGAAATAGGTGATAGGCACGTTGTTGGTGATGATGAGGATGACGATGATAAACGTCCCATAAGTAACCATCCAAATATAGATTCTACAGCCACAGGATCGTTTGGCCCTCCTCGTATACGTCCACCAGTGAGTATCTGGGGTACCAATTCGGCACCCAAAGGTAAATCTACTTCTTTTAGGTTTGATTTGAATTCCTTTTGAAAAGGTATATTCTTTAAATGATCATAAGCCTTCTGAATGGATTCATATGTTGACTGATCTGAGCAGATGTTAGAGGTAATCACAGCATCGAAATCGAAAGAAATCTGAGAAGCATTACATGGCTGAACGTTGCATTTAATTGTTCCCTTATTCCAGAGGGATGACATAGAGTTCAGTCCTCGGATTTGTAACGAAGAATTTCGGGTACGAGGCAAACCCAATTTTCTGGCAAGTTTGGCGGTAACAAAGTTAGACATGCTGCCTGAATCAATTAGTGCACGAACGAGGTGTAATCTGTCAAATTGATCCTTGACGTACAGGAAAGCAATCGGTAAAATTACTTGGTGGTTTAAGTCATTGTTCGGTTGATTAACATGACAAGCCGTAGTTCCGACGGGGACTGGTGATGGTTTACTTGATTCGAAATGCAGAGAGGTATGATGTTTTTGATGGCAAACTTTGCAACGATGCGTCGATACACAGTTACTGGTCTGGTGAGATGTATTAAGACAGTTACGACATAGGCGATTTAGCATGAAATGTCGAACAACGATATAACTGATGAGGTTGAGAACATAATAAACATTTAAGCCTTGAAGGGGTTTCTTCAATTTTAAGGCTTATGGACGGCTTACTACGAAGATTGTGATGGATTTTCGATTGATTAGACGTTTTCTCATTTGAGGTAAGCACCACTGACTCCAATGCCTTTGCCCGCTTTTCCAAGAAATCTCTTAATTGAACATATGTTGGGATTTCAATCGATGTATGCTCTGACTCAAATTTCGTTTTCGTAGCGACATTAAGCTTCAAAAGAAGAATGTTGAACAAGAGAAAATCCCATCCATCAACCGGAAAACCCAGCGCACGAAAACCCTCGACGTTTTCCTTGAACGTATCGATGAGAAATCTTATTGATTTTGATGATTCATCACGAATAGCCTTTAGGTTAAAAATCTCATTAAAATACAGCGTTGCTAAATGACGTTTATTGTGATACCTTTCTTTTAAGGTGTTATATGCAATCAAGTAGTTTTCGTTGGTGACAGGAAGGCCCTTTAGTAGATTGAAAGGTTCCCCTTTTAAAGAGGTTAGTAAATTGATATTTTGCTATAGGTGATAAGGAGTCATTTTCATGAATAAGGGTTCGAAATAAATCACAGAAGGTCGGCCAAACTTTATGATTTCCGTCAAAAATTGGAATAGAAATTTTATTTAATTTGAGCGACGACGTTGATGGAACTATTTCAGAAGGTGCATTGGAGCTTGGCTGAAGTTACTGAAAGATAGCCTTAACTGTAAAATAAGCCAAATCAACCTCTCGGCGAATATCGTCATGGGAATCGAAGTCGGTGTCATCGATGAGACCGATGATCTGATTATGTATCGTCTTAAATTCTTTGTAAGTATCATCAGCATTTTTGGATTGTTCCAGAAATATTAAGCGTTCGGTTTGATCATCAGCGATACTGCGACCATTATCTCGTGCTTCATAAAGACGATTTTGAAGGACGTTTCGACGTAGCTTTAGTTTCGCAAGCTTCTCCATTTTTAAGAAAAATTTGAAGAATTGACGAGAGGTGTAATGTGTAAATAAAATGTAAATAGAATGTAAATAAAATGTAAATATGTATATATAAGGATTAAGGTAAGGAGGATATTAGGCAGCCAAGGACACAACGTCAAAAAAAAAAAAAAAGAAATTTTGATTCAGAAATAGTTAAATGAAAATGTATCTCTCTTATAAGTAAGAATTTTAAGATAAAAAAAATATTCCATGGAAATAAATTCTCAAGGGAGAATAAAGAAATAACAAATAAATGCTTCCAAAAAATTCGAAAAGAGTAATATTCCACGGGGAATAAGTTCTCAGGGGAGAACAGAAAAAATAAGAAAAAATTTAAAAGAATACCAAAAAATTCGAAAAGAAAAATATTCCACGGGGAATAAGTTCTCAAGGGAGAACCGAAAGAATAAGAAAAAATTAAAAGAATACCAAAAAATTCGAAAGAAAAATATTCCACGGGGACTAAGTTCTCAAGGGAGAACCGAAAAAATAAGAAAAAATTAAAAAGAATACCAAAAAATTCGAAAAGAAAAATATTCCACGGGGAAGTTCTCAAGGGAGAACCGAAAAAATGAGAAAAAATTAAAAATTCCAAGGGGAACAAAAAAAAACTGAAATTAATGCTTAAACAGCAAAAGAAACAGAAAAATGGTTTTGCAGAGTGAACCACGTTGAAAACGTGCATAAAATGGAAGACCGTGAAGAAAGATCCGGCTCGAAGGACCAAATGAACACGCTAATAGAAATTAGGTGTTCTTAATGAAATTGGTGCTGATTCTAATTTGGTGTTTTATTCGAAGGACCAGAAAAATGTAATCGAAATAACAAAAAAGTTAAATGTTCTTACTGGTCTTTTATTACACGCACGGTAACCGGTTCACTCGACCCATCAATCACGACGATGACAATTTGAAAAAGGGCGGGTTTAACGGTATAATACAATTTATAGACGGGCATACGTGGTGGGGGTGCGAAATACAAGTTATACAAGACTAATTTGAATTTAATTCGTTTAAATTCAAATTGTCTGCGGATCGGACACACTAAAAATATGTATAAATTAATATAAAATGATATGAAAAAGCTTAGAAAAACTTACATTTAGAGACTGATGGTCATCAAAAATTGGAGAAAAATCAGAAATCTATTTAATGTGTTCGGTGTTACGAAACAACCGTATTGGCGGAAAGAGAAGAAGAGACTGTCGTTGGATGACATGCAAAGTGGACGCGCAGTAGGAAATCGGAAAACAAACAAAAAACTTGAAAAATCTTTAAACTTTAAATTTTAATTTTAAGGTTAAAGCCCTTTAGAAATGAAAATAAAGGTTTACAACGTTTGGGGACTGGAATTCCAATGCACTGAGCTAGGTGACAATGCGCTTAGTCAGTCTAGTAGCATCAAAAATTGTCGGCACAAAACAATATGATGCAAACAGATACACAACATTGGTCACCCTTGAAACGGACGTACAAAATTTTAAGTTAAAATCACCGGCAATAATAATACCCTTTTACGGTTATATAACAGATATAACGCCCGATCCAAAGTATCACGAAAAATTTCTAAATTCCCGTTTGGTGATCTGTACAAGCAAACAATGACCGTATCAAAAATCTCGTAGTAGGCAGCAGATAGCTCACAGTTCAGCTCTGCAATGTCTCTTTTCGCAAAAACTGCAACTCCTCCACGAATTATAGAGTGCGAAAAACCGGAAACTAGTGACCAAGTGCCAAGAGTTAATCCATTATATACTTCACATTCTGTGAACCAATGCTCACTCAAACATACAAAATCGTACTTAATGTCCAATGATGTCCATGATGTCCAATGAATGGCATCTTGAGCGTTGAAATCGGCTTCATCACAGAGACCAATAATTGAATTGTGTGCCTTTTTAAAATTATCGTAGATCGCTTGCTCTTTCAATAAAAATTTGATCTTGCATAGGATTAACAGGATTGGTAGTTAAGGCACGTCCGAATGTGAGGGTTTCAGAAATTTAAAAAATAAAAATAGTACGTTTTAAAGTTAATTTAGCAAGTTTGTCAGCCATGGTTGAAACCAAATGGAAAAGTTTCAAAAGAGGAAAAAAATTAAATGAGAAAACCAAAATAGAATGCTTCCAAAGGCAAGAGTTGGAATAAAACTAAAAAGAAAGTGAAAATTCTTGGAAATGGTAACATAACTCAAGTGTATATTTTTCTCTTTTGCTGTCGAAAAATGATGAAGAATGACGTATTTAGATTCTTAAAATAACGTAAGTAACCGAAAATAACTTTCGAAAATGACTAAAAATAAAATAAATGGAATAAATTCTTACTCTCTTTACTATGATTTCGATAATGCGAATACGAGCCCGGAAAACGTCGCTTTTTCCCCGGTTCCCAAACGGCGCGCGCATAAGCGCATTAGACGAGTATGTGTGTGTTTGGTTGCAGCTTCAACACTTTTCGGAAAGCATTATTAATTACCTCGAATAATAAATTTATTTCCAGGATAGGATTGAGGACTATTGAAACGACATTTATTTTTTCATATGCCAATATTTCGCTTTTGTATTAAAGCTTCTTCAGGACTTGAATTTAAACAAATGAATTTAAACACATCCACATCAGTATCGGAAATCCAAATTTGGATTCTTGAAAGGGTAGCAAGACCAACTTCCCTGACAACACTTAGTACTACGCCCTCTAGGGGCGGTATCAGTGGTACTGCAGCTTTCAACTACGTTAAAGAGTAGTCATCATTGCAGGCGACCTTTAAGATCTGGTCTGCATAGACCATCTATGTAAACGTTGGTATCGGCGTTTGTTGTTTAGGGTCGAGCTGAGTAATTACTTTAAACAAAGCGTTCGTCAGCTCGTATTTGACATGAAGAAGTAAGATATTTAGAATTTGAATTTCAGACAATGTATTTGTATTTGTATGGGGTAATGAACAACAACATGCTTTTAATCAATTAAAGCAAATGATAGTCAGTCAAAAAGTTCTTCAATATTTCGATCCAAGCATATTTCCAAGCAAGAAACCAATCGTTTTATCAGTCGATGCTTCTAGTCATGGTTTGGGTGCCGTATTAATGCAAAACGGTAATCCTGGTGCATATGCTTCTAGGTCTCTAACGAAAACACAATTAAACTATGCACAGATTGAAAAAGAATTGTTAGCAATTTACTTTGGTGTAACTAAATTTCATCAATATGTCTTTGGTAGAAAGTTTACAGTGGAAACTGACCATAAACCACTTATTACAATATTTAAAAAACCGCTAAATTCATGCCCACCACTATTGCAAAGAATTTTACTAGTCATTACAAAATTATAATATTAATCTTATATATAAACCTGGGAAAGATTTAATAGTGGCTGATACGCTTTCTAGAACACCTTTAGGGGAATTATTGAATCATAATTTAGATATTCAATTTCATATTTGCACTGTTACTAAGAAAATTAACATAAATGTCAATAAATTAAAATTACTTATTGAGGACACAGATAAAGATGAAGAGCTAACATTAAAAAAAAAAAGGATGGCCTAACAAATCAAAAAATATCCCAAATAATATTAAACAGTATATTAATCTAAAATTCAATTTAACTGAAATTAATGATTTAATTTATTTGAATGATAGATTGGTTGTAACTTCAACATGGAGAAATAAAATTAGCATCAATTCATAGTGG